TCCGCTCTCCGCAGCCTTGGAGTCGGCTCATGCTTTGTGCACAGCGTGAGTCACGCATTTCTCCCCTTCCCCTCGCACACGCGGGTGAGCACAGGATATCTGGCCGGTACATTCAGCTCACGCTTACGTAGCTAACGACTTCTCTTTCCCCTCCTCTTCTGGCTTTCCGCTTTTGTTTAAACAGACGTTGATCTATTTTTAAATCTATTCTGTTAAGAATTAGCATACCGGCAAACGATGCTGCTGCTCGCGCGCCGGAAAACACGTGCCCCGCATCAGGGTAACGGAATAAAAGCCGATGAGCCTGCTGCCATCCCTGGCAGTTCCATATTTGTCGCTTCTGCTCGTTTCCTTGCACAGAATACCTCCTTCTGGCAGATGACTGAAGATAAACACCAAGAACGGGGCAGAATTACAGCCTCCACCATCCAAGACAGCAAGAGGAAAACCGCTGGAGCGATCTGGAATGGGCATAAAGCCTTAACCACAGCCCCCTCCCCGGGGCCATGGGACCGGCTGGATTTTTGTCCCCGGGTGCAGGGTTTCATGCACCCAGGCCACCCCTCAGTTGCCCGTGGGGCAGCCACCCCCGGCATCACGGCTTCTCCAACCCTGTTTATTCCCAAGTCAGGGTGAGACTGCAGCTCTAACAGAGGAGCATTTGTTTCTGTAGGTCCCCCCCCAGCCTGGGAGAGGCTGTGCCTGCCCAGCTGACCTCCCGCAGGTCTGGGCTAGTGCAGGCCACCCTGCGCTGGCCCAGGGCACACAGGCTTTAGCAGCAGCTATTCCCCAAGGAGCGCAGGGCAGCAGCTCTCATCGCACACGCAGCTCAGCTGTTTCAGTCCTGACAAGCAGCCATGACGCTGGATTGCATCCTGATCGCATATTCCGGCTGGTGCTCCTGAGCTGCAGCCAGACGGAAGGGCACATGCTGCTGCAGAACAGCATTGGGAAGGGGAGGGTTTAATACATGCATCACCTACAGCAGGGTGCCCTAACACCCCAGGATGCCTACTGCACACCGCAAATTCCCAGTTGCACCCAGGTAATCCCTTCCCTTCACCATTTCAGAGGGACTGAAGGATGCACCCGAAGCTGCGGGCAGGGAAGGGATGGAGCCTGGCGCAGGCAGGCAGCAGGTTTGGCCCTGCCATCCCCAACATGCCGCTCTCCATCGGCCAGCACGGAAGAAACAGCTTTCACCGGAGATCATCCCCTCGGCCCACAACACTGCGAGCTTTGTGCACGCTCCCTCGCTGCTGTGCCAGGCTGGCTCCGGGGAGCTGCTCATCCCAGGATGCAGAGACACAGGGGTACTTGGGGGACGGCGACTCCACCGAGTCTGAGGCAACACACGTCCCCAGGCAGAAGCATCCCCTCCCCAGACATTACCCCCAAAATGAAGATGCCTCTATCATCCCTTCTTAAAAGGGAAGGATTTTTCCAAGAGCTGTGATTATTGGAAGCATGAACCATCAAGGCAAACAAACCCATGTTTTCCATAGGGATGGATGGGCACCCACATCCATCCCAACAGCGAAACAACACTGCAGAAGATGGAAAGTCACAACACTCTCTTACTGCCAAGGTCACGCAGTACTTGGGTTCCTGCACGGGGAGCACTTCCGGCCCCCCATGCGCTTCCCCACACCCCGGAGAGGCTGCCCTCCCGCAGACAGCCCCAGGGGCTCACAGACCTTCTGACACTGCCCGGTCACCCTGCTCTGCTGAGAGAGCAGATGGAAGGGGAGGTCTCCTCTCTGCCCTGATAACCTCTAACGGTTGTTGCAGAGGTGCCAGAGCTTCAAAGCCTCCTCCTGGCAGCATGAAAACAGACATAAACACCAAGCTCGGCCACACACACAACCACAATTCCCCCTGGAGAGAAGGGTACAGTGACAGGGGGAGCTGGTCCCCAAAAGGCCAAGGGTTAATGGGGACACACTCAGAGCAGCAGTGGCCAGAGTAAGATGCAGGGACAAACCAGCCACAGCACGAGACAGCGCCAGCAAAGGAACGCCCTGCGTTTTCGGCAGATCCCCCAGAATTTCCCCAGAAACAGGGTTTAGCAGCATCGAGCTTTTGCATCTTTAACAGCAGCTACACCTGGCTGCTAACTCCAGGGAAAAGAGACCCGTACGATGAACCTCCATCACCGACCGGCTGGGGGGAGGATGCAAACCCAGCCCACGTCCCCTCCTGTGCAAGAGCTGGGGGCAAGCAGCACGTGGGGCACTTGGGGGGCAGCCCCCTCTCCATAGCGACGGGAGGCAGACCCGAGCACTGGGCAACCCGCGGGGGAAGCGGCAGAGGGTGACAAAATGATTCAACAACCCCCTCAGCTCCGCTGGATGAATCCCTCGCAGCCTCATCCCGGCTCGGGGCTCACAAAACCCGACGTGCGTTGCTCTGCCCCTGCGGCCTCTCACTCCCCGGCTCGGGGGCAGCGGGAGGGTGCGACCGGTGCTTGCAAAAAACAGCACAATGACAATATTGCACCGCACAGGCATGAGCCAGGGAGGGCAAAGCGACTCTTCCGAGCCTGCAGTGCAGCCCCCTCCCTCCAAAGCAATTCAGGAAAACCAACGCTTCTCTCCATCCCCTTTGCAGAAGGCACAGCCCCGAGCGCTGGCATTTGAACCATCCAGGCCATTAACCACAAAAAATGTGGCAGGCATTATTCAAAACAAGCGATTTCTCCTCCTTGACCCCACCCTGCCTTTCCGCATCCGGAGCGGAGAGCCGAAAAGCAGAAGGTGCATGCTGGCTGTTTACCTCGGGCCTTGGCCTCTGGCTCCGGCGATCCCGGCGACGGTGGCTCGCAGAATTCCTTTAGTGGCGAGCAGGTCGGCGTTTCAGCTTCGGGGGTCTCAAAATTACCTTCGGAGTCCGAGCTGCCGAGGAGGGGGGAAAAGAGTGAGGAATTACCGCTTTCAAGGCTAGCTCTGAAATTCTCCGCACTGCCCACATGTC